CACCTATCTCTCAAGTGGACCATTGACACTCTATCTACAATCTCAATTAGGAGTGTCAATGGTCCACTTGAGAGATAGGTGGCGGTAATGCACTTATAAGTCTGCGATCTTTTTTTTGTTTTTTTGCATTTAGACATGCATAGATATAAATGAATATTCCACTGCAGTGAATATGACAAAGATAAAGAATTGCTAGTTTATGCAAGCTACGATTTCTAGAAAACAGAATATTGACTTTATCATTAATGTTTTGTTAACATTTTGAGTGTTTTATGCTCGCCAAGGCTGCATTTATTTAAGCAATAATACAGTAAAATCAGTAATATTCTGAAATATTGATAAGTTATCTATTTTCTATTATAATATATTATAAAGCTGAATTTTCAGCATTCATTACTCCAGTCTTCATTGCCGCCAAGGCTGCATTTATTTAAGCAATAATACAGTAAAATCAGTAATATTCTGAAATATTGATATTAAGTTATCTATTTTCTATTATAATATATTATAAAGCTGAATTTTCAGCATTCATTACTCCAGTCTTCATTGTCACATGATACTTCAGAAATCATTTTAATATGCTGATTTGCTGCTTAAACATTTATGATTATTGTGAGTGTTGAAAACGGCTTTACTGCTTAATATTTTTGTGGAAAGTGTGATAATTGTTTTTAGCATTAATTGGTGAATAGAAATACATAAAAAATAACATTATTTGAAATATAAATCTTTTGTACTATTATAAATGTCCACCTTTTTTAATTTATTGATCTCTTTTTAATAAAATAAGAGCATCAGGAACTCTTGGTAATAGAGTATTGTGTAATATATTTTTGAAATGCTTGTACAGCGCTCATCTATTCATATATTAGTACTAAATCTTCCAGAAGCTGAAAGTGGAGGTCCTCCTCAGCCAGCAGCTGGATGCCATAATCAGTGAGGGTTTGCACTTCCTGGAGAGCAGTCAGAATGAGGACAGGTGAACTTTTATAACACTACACTCAATAAGTTCTTTCCTAGTACTCAGTAACCTCAGAATTGTCTTACTAACCTCCAGCGTGGGACTCTGCTATGGATAAGAAATCAAAGAATATGGTTTAATAATTGATTTTGAACAGGATGTCTCCTGATGAGTAATTAAAACCTAGATTCTCCAACTGATTTTCTTTCCCACGGGCTTCAGATGAGGCTATAACTCTTGGGAGTTATGTGGTGTGGAAGAGCTCCTTTGAGCTCAGCACTGGAACAAGCTGGCTCGCTCAGGAAATTGAACTGCATGTGCTACCGGCATGAATCATTGAAATCATTTTTCTTTTCAGCATATAAGTGCTGCTTCAGGTGGAACTCCTGCATGGTTACTTTGAAGATGTTTCTTGGGTCTGTTTTTTTCCATTGCAGGAACAAATGTCATGTAGAGAGCCACATAAATGTGGTTGGTTTATTTTTCAGATGACTGGCAAAGCCAATGGCCAGTGGAATTGCTGTTAGTTTTATGGTATTATTAACATCTCTATTATGTGTTGCTCATCAGTTGTGACATCTATGGTCTCTTTAAAAAAAAAAAAAAAAATTTAAAACCACAATTTAAAGGGCTAGTTTACCCCCCAAAAAAATCTGTGATCCTTTACTCACCTACATGTTGTTACAAACCCATAACTTTTATTCAGTTTTGAAACACAAATAAAAAGTATTTATATTGAAATCTGAGAGATTATAGACACACAGAACTTTCATGGTTCAAAAAGTCCATAAAGGGATTGTAAAAATAATCCATATGAATCGAACAGTGTAATCCTTCTTAAGTCTTCTAAAGAGACATGGCCGCTTTATATGCTGATCGATACATTTGGATTACTTTTGCAATTATTTTATGACCATTTTGAAGTGCAAACGTTTTGGGTGAATAGACATTCAATGGAGGAAAAGAAATCTCTCACGTTTCATTAAAAAATATCTTTGTTTCAAAGATGGTCGAAGATCTCATGGGTTTGGAATGACAAAAGGGTAATTGATGCCAGAATAATCATTTTTGAGTGAACTAATCACCTTTAACCTGAGTGAATGTTCTTCACTATGGTAACTTTTGTACAGTGGCCCAGTAGTGCATAACACAGCGAAATCGCCACAGCACAACGGAAAAGACGCAACACAATGAAATTAGCACAACACAACGGAAAAAAGATGCAACACAACGAAATCGGCACAACACAAAGGCAATGGCGCTATGCACACAAACATTTGCTACTTTTTAACACTCGAGATCCTCTTTAATAAATTCAGCACTTCTTCTTTTTAAGTGCTGTTACAGTTGAATGAACCGACGGATTTAATGCAGGGTCCAATGATCAAACGAAATCCAAATTTTGATATCCAATATGTTTTCACGAACCCTTGAAATTTCTATGAGACAATACATTATATATCACCCCATATCACGGTGCCATAGTGTTTACATTGTGTAAATAACCAGCCTTTTTGACATATAGGCTATTTACACTAATTACGCTCACCAATGTCTGGTTGGGCCACACAAAATTAAAAATGACGCACACCGGGTACCAGCTGTATAGTGGCGTAGCGAGTAAGGCACATAAAAGTAGCATTTTGACGCTATCGACCCGAGTTCAAGTCCACCTTTTGCCAGATTGCTCTTCTCCTTTTTCCCATCACATATCAGATCAGAAAGGCATTTACTTTCAATGTAGAACATATTCGAAAAGTGGAAATAATGTGCATAACGAGTGTTTAATAATGAAGTATGTCGGGTTAGGGGTATAGGTGTATGGAGGGCTTTATTTGCACTCCACATTACTATTGCATCCTATTAATGTACAACAAAACTGAGGTGCAAACATCCGTCTATAGACTATAGCCTATAAATAATATCTAAAGACTATTTATTGCAAAGAAAATACATAGTGTAAATAGAATCTATTGCTAGTGTATCCATAAAATACTTTCTATTGTCAATTCGTGTAAACAGCATCTAAAATATGCTGCTTGCATTGCAAATAGCCTCTGCCTTCTATAAAGGTGCAAAACTAGCATGCAAGCTTTATTTAGTGGTAATGGACTAACGAAACCCTAATTTTGAACAATTTACTATACCAATACCACACCAATGTTTTTTATGGACTCTTTAGCTTGCACATACTGTATTATTACTGTTGAATTCATTTCATAATGCTGTTTCTCGCTGCCACGTAAACAATGCTTTAAAACTAACATTTGGTCTAACAATATTACTATTTTAAAGAGCTTTTACTGCACCAGGATTTTGAAATGACTTTAAATTTACATAGCCATATAAATTACTTGGCTAATGGTTTAAAAAAAACTGGTACTACAATAAAATGCCCAAAATTTTTATTTTGTTAGACCATTAGCTATGGTATAGAGTCCTTAGTTTTAACGCATCCTCTATAGTGGACAAGAAAGGGAGCGGGAAGATTTCATTGTGTTGTGGTTTGTTTGCATTGTGTTGCGGCGATTTTGTTGTGTTGTGCACTACTGGGCCACCATACTTTTGGCTCAATGTACCTTTAACAAAACGTGAAAATGTTGACAAACAAATTCAATTGTGAGCAGGAGTCATCTGATTCTGAGAGTCACCCAGCTAAAGGCACAATGGCAGGGGACACAGCAAAGGGTCCAGCAGCATGGCAGATGTTTGGAAGGGCTGATGGGACAGTGGCAACTCTATGAGGCCGGCTCAGGGAAACTTTCAAAGTTACTCAGACACATCGAAGAACTTCTGCCCCTAGCAGGACTTGCGCCGTGCAGCTTACAGCAAGTCCAATGCGCTATAAAAAACTTTGAGGTAAGATGATTGAGTAAAGAGAATATAAGGATCTTTTCAACTCTTTCAGATCCTAATGTTGTACTGCAAAGTCTGATCCAACACCATCATTATCTTTCATACTTTCTGTCTCACAGTGGACAGAGGAGCGACTACAGCTTCATGAAGAACTCTACAAGCAGACTGTGGAGGCAGGGGGACACATCCTAATACTAACAGATGCGCAGACGCAGACACGCCTGCAGACTGAACTGGATGCTCTCAAAGAGATGTGGGAGAGAAGCTGTGGCCTTGTGATCTGTGAAACTGGCCTGGCTGATAGTGCTCTCAAACTGAAAGAGATAAAAGCAAGACTGAAGAGTCCGTTGCCAGAGAAGCTAGAAGATCTAAAGTCACACATGCAGCTCATCAAGGTAATATATTTTTCTGAGTGATGACAGACAACCAAACAACCAGTTAGAATCCCAGATTCAGGTCATTCGGCTGTATTGATAATGTAATTGATAATGTATTATTTTATTTATTTAACCTGGAAATAAACCAACATTTTGAGGATTTGGAAAAATATATAGAGAAAAAATACAAGAAGAAATTATCATATAAAATACAAATATTATTTAAGATTAAAGAAATTATTTAGGACAAAGGTTATATAAAAAATATAGAGAAAAACTGAAAGGAAAAGTTGGCATAAAATAAAGAAAAAACATTTATTAACCAATGAAATGTAGGCAAGTTTGTGATGGCATTGTGCAGATGGTTATTTCGCAAACAGGAAATAGCTGATCGCCTGAATGCCTGGATCATCTTCAATGATAAAAACAAGGAGCTCTGTGACTGGCTGACGCAGATGGAGAAAAAAGTGGCACATAGGGGTGAAAACCTTAGTATTGAGGAAATGGTGGAGAAACTTAAAAAGGTACAATTTGGTTTCCTTTTCATTGCTATGATTTTTCTAATCACTTAAAAAGGGATAATTCATCCAAAATTTAAAATTCTTACCCTGCGTTTTGTTCTATAACTATATGACCTGCACTACCGCTTGTCAAAAGTTTGTGGTAAATATATATTTTTTAAAGACGTTTCTTGAGTTGAGGTATACCTATGATGAAAATTGCAGGCCTCTCTCATCTGTTTAAGTGGGAGAACTTGCACAGTTGGTGGCTGACTAAATACTTTTTTTCCCCACTGTATATATATTTAGAATTGTTTGATTGATGCAGCGTTTATTTCAAAATTATAATTTTAAATGAATTATAAATTATATAAATAATTTACTGTCACATTTTGTTCAATGTTATGCACCCTTGCTTAATAAAAGTATTAATTTATTAATAAATTAATTTAGTAATTAATTAAATTGCTCAACTCCCTGTTTTTGTGGTTACATAACCATAACGCGTCACTTTAAGATCATTTTAGACTAAGGTATCACGAGTCTGTTTCTATGTGCCTTTGTCATGGCGAGTTTGTGTTGTACATTTGTAAGGAGCTTAAGTAGGTCGGTAATATGGTATTATATGGTATATGCTATTATGAGTATCTACGAAGGATTAAAGCAGTCTCAAATGAACAGCACGCTTAAGCATTCCCAAGGGAGGCCCCATTTTACATTTCACAGAGGCTCTATTCTATCCACTCACATAGCATTCGTTCATTTTTACTCAAATATGCTACAAATGTGCATTATTTCTAAAAAATATGAAAGATTAGCTTTAGTCTAGTTTACTCTATGTACTATAAAATTGAGGGCAGAGTGCTGTACCACATAACTGTGTTCATTTGTTTACCTCTTTGTTCATACACAACAATAGCCTCGTATGTGCAGTTTCTCTCTCACCATCAAACAGTGCAACCTCAAGCACTCTGCAGTCATTAGCACATAGCTTACCATTGAGATTTTGGAGGGTTTCAGCCAGGCCACGTCACTAATGATCACACATCAGAATGCTGGTCTCTTTCTAGCACCGTTACTGATGGCCATTTTTATTTTACTGTCATTTTGCTATTAATATTTGGAATTTATTTTTATAATTTCTGTTTTCATTTGAGCTAATATTTTAGTTTGAGTTATTTTACTGCATCAAGTTAAACTAAATGAAAACGAGAATTATTATTATTATTATTTTTTTTTTAAAATACTTTATTTACTTTCAGTTAACTTTTATTTCATGTTTTTTATGGCTGTAAATTTAGTTAACTGTAATAACTCTGCTGACAAGAATCCTGCTGTTGAAACTGAGCTAGGTTGGACTAAACAAAACAGGTGAACCCTTAATAGCAGAGGAGAAAGTGAAAAGGATTTGGGCTGCTGAGGGGTCAGTGTGAATAATTGTTCCTCTCCTTTAAAGAGGGACCATGCTGAGAGAAGGAACATAGTTTAGACAGCTGTCATACCCATCTAGAGACAAAGTGCAGTTAGTCTGTTTTGTTTGGGATGGATGTGTTAATGACTAAAGCACATGAGAGGCAGGCCAGTGCTCATTGTGCACATCTCTCTTTAGGACTGTATGGAGGAGATTAATCTCTTCAGCGAGAACAAGAGCCACCTCAAGCAGCTGGGCGAGCAGCTCCTATTGGCCAGCGACAAGGCTAAGGAGGCAGAGATTCACGGGGCCTTGCGCGATGTCAACGACCGCTGGCAGCACCTGTTCGACCACATTGAGACCAGGTGAGCAAAATAAAAACAAATGAACCAAATTGAACTGTAGTGAATAAATGCTTTGAGGAAGAAATGATAATTTGATAAAACTAGTTTATTTCCTGTTTGCCTGATGTTTGCTATTGTTGCTCTGTATCCACTGATTAATGGCTGATTAAAAGCTCTTTGTTTGTTTAAAAGCCTTAGTCTGCATCATTTCAGGTTTCCATTCAAGGACTGATTGATTCATTCATTCATTTGTGCATGTATTCCTCATTTAGACTGTTGGTGGTGATTAAGCCTTTGATTAGACTTTAATATTTTTGAGGCATTTAACAGATTATTTTATTCAGACTGAAAAACAAAAAGTGCTTAAGCCTTTAATGTGAGACTGATGAATCCGTGTATCATTCGATAATTTGTTTTTTGATTTAATATTGAAAGTAGAAAAATGAGAAAACGGCTCCTTTTTCGTTTTCCCGTTTTTTTCCAATACAGGAAAAACGAGAATTCAGCTTAAATGTTCGTTTTTCATTCAGGGCGTGAGGTGTGTACGCGCTCTGGCGTAGTTTACGTTAATGGGTGTGTTGATATCCAGCCGAAGAGCAATCAACCATAACTTCAGGCGAGCAGGCTCAGAAGTTGGGAATACGTTTAGTTTCAAATCGGTTTGAACAATCCGGATAAGCGCAAGTAAGTACCATTTTGATTAGCCGTCGTACCTACAGTGTTTGTGCACTGTGTAAACAATGAGTGACGTATACGCGTGAGAGATCCCTTTCGGCGCTTACGTAAACTACGCCAGAGCACGTACACACCTCACGCACCGGATGCCGTGCTCGCGCCCAAAGACAGTTGGACATAGTCGTGTATTAGAGGTAAAAAATTATATAAATACTGTTCGGTTTCTGAATCTGTGTATCATTCATTTTTTTATTTAATATCGAAAGTTTAAAAAAAAAGAGAAAACGGCTCCTTTTTCGTTTTTTGGGAAAAAAAACGAAAAAAACGAGAATTCAACTTAAGTTTTCATTTTTCGTTCATGGGTAGAAAAATGAATAAACAGCTTGAATATTCGATTTCTACACGTGGGCGGGAATTAAACGCCCCTTTCTGCTGATTGGTCAGCCGAAGATCAAACCGTGCCTTCATCAGTTCTTCTGCAGTATCACGCAGCAGAATAACAGTCCTCCACTGCTGCAGTTGTATGGATTAACACATTTATTTCAACTACATTTAGTCTTTTTTCATCCAACAAACAGGCTAATGAATAGCTCGACACAACTCATACGTGGGCAGAGTCTAGACAGGGCTTTCTTATATATATATATATATATATATTATATCTTATAAATATTCTATTCTTTGCATCAGCTGGGCATGGCAGGGTATGATATGACAGCTGTCATAGCCTACCCTGCTCACACAGTAAGTCTAAGTAATTAATTCATTAATTTGTTTAAAAATAAATACTTTAAACACTAAGACAAAAAGGAAATAATAATAAATTGGCTTGGGTATATATAGGCCTATGTTCACGCAAGAACTGTCATTCTGACTGACAACCGGTTCTTGAGAATACTTGTCTTTTTTTAAAAGGCTTCATTTAGATTATTTTACATTAAATGCATCATATAAGTCACTTTGGAATAAATCACAGTAGGCCTATGTATCATGATAAAAAAATAAAGAAAAATATGAAACTGATAAAATGGGTTATTAATCCGTACAACTGCAGTGGAGGACTATTATTCTGCTGCGTGATACTGCAGAAGAACTGATGATGGCACGGTTTGATCTTTGGCTGACCAATCAGCAGAAAGGGGCGTTTAATTCCCACCCACATGTAGAAATCGAATATTCAAGCTGTTTATTCATTTTTCCACCCATGAACGAAAAACGAAAATTTAAGCTGAATTCTCGTTTTTCGTGTTTTGGAAAAAAACGAAAAAGGAGCCGATTTCTCATTTTTCTACTTTCAATATTAAATCAAAAAATACGAAAATTTAAGCTGAATTCTCGTTTTTCGTGTTTTGGAAAAAAACGAAAAAGGAGCCGATTTCTAATTTTTCTACTTTCAATATTAAATCAAAAAAATGAATGATCGAATGATACACGGATTCTGATGGTTAGCAAGTAGTTCAAAAAGCTAATGCTGGGAAAATAACTTCCCTGTGCAAATACAAACATGTAGAGGAAAGTGGTGTAAGAAGTGCCTTTTTCCAGCAAATTGTGCCGAACTGTGTAGTTAGAAAGAAATGCATATATGAAAAGCTTTTTTTATGCTAAAAGTTTGTGTATGTCAGTTGTCAGTTTTGTTCTGTATGACAGGTGAAATATTTTTTTTTGTACCAGGGTTTGTGGGTAAACTGTGTCACACAGCTCAACAAATAGTAATTAAATTCAGGAATTACTAGCATATAACATTATTATATTAATGTGATATTATGCTGTCATAATATTGTTATAAGTATGCTTATGTATTACTGAATTATTATTATTATTATTATTATAAATACTGTTAAGTGTTATTAACCAAAAGCTTAAATAAAATGTAAATATTAAGTTAAAAACTAATCATTTAAAACTAATTTTAAACAAATTAAAAACATTGCCTTGGCAACTAACTGAAATAAAATGAAATAATGTTTAAGAAGTACTAGAATTACTAAAAAAGTAAATTAAAGCTATGTAGAAATGTAAAAAAAAAAACATGTATAAAATGACTAAAGCAAAATAAAAATAATAACAAATAACTAAAATGAAAACGCAAAATGTAAAAATAAAAGCGAATTCAAAATATAAATGAATCTTATAATTGTGTTTAAAACTGTTTCACTATATTGAAACATTATGAATATTAAACCTTTTCCTGGCTGCTTTATAAAGACTTTAGAGTGGAGATTAAAAAAAAAAATGAAATCATTCATGTGTCCCCCAGTGACTCAGCCTGTCCCATGATGCAATTCAATTTACCCCTAATGTGGAGCAAGTTGCCTTATTAGACTTTTTTTTGGAAAGGTCATTTTTCTATTTTTCTTCAGTGTTATAGATGACTTCCACAAAGTTCAGTTAATAGAATACATCATATAATTTCTCCTTGCCAATTTACAGCAAATTTTCCCCACTAATACAACTAATTTGCTTATTTTATTTATATTTACTTATTCAAAGGTGAGTCTGGAGTCTGCATGTACTCATTTATTTCTTGATGTGGTATCATGTGGTCTTCAGTACTTTGGATGGTTACCACATCTGGCATATGCTCTCATAATCATTCAGTCTGCTGGAAATTTGCAGATACGGAGTGTATGAATCAGGTGGTGGTCCTAAGCAAGCAATAACAAACAATTCAAGTGCTTTCCCATCTTTTCTGTGACGTCACCAGCCTCTCATATCATTGGTCAGTCCTGCAGTATGCCATGTTCTGAAGCAGCCAGATGGTGCTAGTACTGAAGGAGGGGGGGATTAGCGTAGCCCTCACTAGTGTCGTTAGCTTCAGCTTTGCCATATGGCTTGTTCGGGCTTCTGTAGTTTGTCCTAGTCCCTCGGTATAGCTCGGGGGGGGGGGGGGGGGGGG